GATATCCCTGCAAGGGACGTCGTCAAAAAGGAAGTCGTCGAGACGTGCGATCTTTTTCGGTCTGGATGAAGTGACGTCTTCCTGTTTCTCTTCGCTGAGTCGGAACTTCCATGGAATGTAAGAGTAGTGTTTGTTGCACTTGCTTATTGCAAGATGCAAGTAGCCGTGACGAGGGCATACTGGATGCATCGAGAATCTCAGAAGGGTATGAAGCTTCGAATGTAGCTCTCATGGTATTCACTCGTTCAGTGCTCAACTTCGCAGGAAAAGGCTCCGTCCAAGACGATGCAGTAGGCACCGCGCTCCCAGATGCAACAGATGCAGTGCCGGCCGCAGGGGAAGTCGATATCACTGAAGAAATGCATCGATGATACGAAGCCTTGAGACATGCCAAAATAACAGTGTTCAGCATGGCCTGTCCCGGTGCATCAAGCACATCTTTGATGGAGTCCTGCAAGTTTTCGACTCCTTCGCAAATGCAAGGAAATGAGTGAATCGTCAGCTGTGACGAAAGTTGGCTCGCAATAAGATCCGGGACTTTTTCTTCCCTGAGGATCTGGGCCAGAGTGAGGGCCGACATGAGCCCGAGAAATATCGCGACCTGGCGGGGTGCAAAGCAAAGAGTGCACACGAAGCAGAAGCCTCAGGCCTGTAAAAGAAGGTGCCAAATGCACCGGTCGCCAAAATGCGGATGGCTGCAAAAGCTAGCCTCTTACAAGAGGTGTGACCTGCCAGAGGTAGCCTGGAAGTGTTCTGCATAGTGACAGTGAATGCAAATGTTGCATGTTGGCAATCGCTGAGCCAAAAGACGATCAACACAGAGAGGTCGATCAAGCAAACCACAAGGGTCTGAGTTGCAGCAGTCGCAAGCCGAGCAATGCAAAAGCAGGCGAAAGGCCCGGCTGTTTGCACTCCCTCGCCGGGAGGTGCAGTATTGGCGCCGAGCGGCAGCCGAAAGCTCGAGAAATGTAGGAACAAAGTCCAAAGGTGGGGCCGGCAATGGAAAACAAGCGCAGCCCCGATCAGAATGTAAAAAGGCAGGCTAGACCATAAAGAGGCTAGTACCCGCTGCGCTTCCACCAGGACCAGGAGTCCCCGTGCCAATCCTCATCGCCCCACTCACTCCACTCCGTATCCCAGGATGCATCCGACGACTTGTGCTCCTTGGAATGGACCTTATTGCGGTAACATGCCTTACAGGCATGACGAGTGGAGGATGTAATGAAGTGACTGTCATTGGGGATCTCGCTGCTATACCCGCACAAGGCAATGCAGCCGACCGTATCACAAACGGCCCTGCAGCACACGACCTGGCGTGTGGCCACTGGGCACTTTGCATCCGCCGCCACATTGTCGTCGAGGAATGTAGGGTCGTGGATCGGCTTGATCGGCGGTGCCTCAGCTTTTTGTGCAGCAGGAGATGTACTCGGGGCTGGTGGAGGCGATGGAACTGTATCCGCAGGGGGTCCATCGTCAACTGATGTAGTGGTGCCCTTTGAGGCTGATGGATCGGACCCCTTTGGCTCATCAGCATCCAATGTACTCTTGCCCTGGGCATCTTCCTGAATGGAAGTCTTGTCCTCTTTCTGCTCAGGAGGGGCAGATGTACTCGAAGATGCAGAAGAAACCTGGAAACTCATGGCAGAGATCAGCAGCAACTTTCGCTGCCCTGCAGCCGGTCCTCCCCTGATGCAGCTGACCACTTGGTGAACATCCGAATTGTAAATGTAACTCAGAGCGTCCCTGATCTGCTGAGTTGGGCGGATATTCTCCATGATGCAAGAGGAGCGGAATGCGAAAATCAGAGCAAACCTAACAGCCATGTAAAAGTGAACCTGCTAAAGGAATGTGCATCGGTTTGTGTGGCAGTGACATGTCATGCCTGGCACAAAGTGCAAGTAGAGCATGCGAAAAGCATCCACACGGTTCAGCTGCTGAGCACTCCGCTGCCAGAGTAAAAGAATGCAATCGCCCGCACTCAGAATGCAAAAGGCACAGACTGAACTGGCATGATCACAGTCGCAAGGCACACCGAATGCAGTGTTTCGCAAGATCCCAGGCAGCTTAAGACAGATTCGTGAGAATGGAAATGCAAGGCTTTGACTTGCAAAATCGCGAGCCCGCAGGTGGGTGCGAAACAAAATGGAAGGTTCCCCGGCAGCCGCAAGCCGGTTTGCCTTCAATGCAAGCATGTATGATGGAGCTGGTGGTTGCACTGAGGCATGCAATCTCCTCAGCCTCGCCCAGCTCGCCCTCCGAGCTGCTCGTCTCCGCTTCTTCACGAACCTTTTCAGGCAAAGCAGAAGGAACAACATCCTTGACCGGTGCAGCAGATGCAGCCGAAGCTGAGGGTACATCGGGCGAGGGCACCGAAGTCGGCGGAAATGTATCCAACCTGAAGAAGACGGGCAAGGCAGCAGACAATACGGCCCCTAGATCCGGAGGCCACTGCAATGCAGGTTCAAGAGGCATAAAGGTGACTCCACGCATTAACGGAGTTCGCGATTGCCAGCCGCCTCTTACTCTCTCAATGAAACTGTCCTGAGCGAGAAGTAATGGGGAGAAGGCGTCTCGCCCATATAACACACAAGAAGCAGAATGCTTGTGGTGGCCCTGAAAGAAAGCAATGTAGCTTTCATGGAATGTAACGTATACTGAAGTTCTTGACCCGATGGTAGCTGGTTCCACATGACCAGCAATCGTCTGAGCCTCGAAAGGCACTCCGCATTAGTCAATGGTCTGATGCAATCCTTGTCCAGAAGGAAGAAAATGTAGTCCGGTATGTCGGAAGGATCGGAATGCAAATCCATAAGTTTCTCAAGAGCCCCTAGCCAATGCAATAGCCAGCATTGTGTACGTGGCAGCCTCAAAAGGCCTGAGAAAAGGCAGCCAAAGGCCATAAATTTTTGGGTTTTCGTTCGATAAGATGCACCTCTAAAGCTATCGAAGTCAATGTAGAGATCTGACAACTGAATGTGCTGAGAGTCGCCAAACCTCAGACTGCACCAGATGCAAACTAGCACTGATCCAGCGAAAGCAGTCTCTTCCAATGTAAAGTGGCCACACACGAGTTGAACCTCCAGCCACAATATAAAGGATAATGGAAGAGGTAGCGCCTCTTTAGATGCACTTTGCGACTGCCAAGCCCTGGCATGAAATAATCCATCATATAATGACGGAAAGCCCGTGGGCTGCACTGTAGAAGAAAACCATCGTACAGCCTTGAGCACATTAATGGAATGGACCGAAGAGTGATGGCTGCGAGATCTCTGTAATGTATGAATTGAGTCAATAAGCTGAACCTGAGACAGCGATGTGAGGTCAAAACCGAGGTCCCGCACCGTGTGCAGCAATTGCCACATAACTGCAATGTATCTCAGCGCCGTGGTGTCTGATACTCGGCGGAGCAATTGCTCCAACAGGGCATTCTTGTTAGAGCTGCTGAAAATATCACAAAGCAATGAAGAACATGCCAACGCAAACTCGCATAGCTCAGACCATAAATGCAGAGCCCGGGACCACTGAGTGGAGTGGACCTCGGATTGCTTGACCATTTTGTAGCTTCCCTTGGTTGCTCCTGAATGAAGGAGCTCAATGCCTCTCTTGGCACAAGGACCTTTGGTCAACAATGGTCCAGACGGCAGATCTGGGGCCACACCAGAATGGAGTGAGGTCCCCGTACCTTGAGATGGAGGCGAACTCTTTGAGATAGCCCCCGATGCCTGAGCAGAAGAATGCAATTGTTCAGACGGATAGGATGCATATGCTCCGCGAGCCGAAGGGACCGGCCGAGGCTTGGGAGTAACACGAGGCACTCCAATGGAGGCCCGAAGCGGAAAGGCCGGCCTGGCCTTAGCATCGTCACTCGACCTGACAGCCAGAGAATGCACGCTAGAAGCACGACCTCTGCCCTCCCTGAGATGTACAGGGCGAGCCAAAGGAGTCGCTTTGGGATGAGAGTCCATGTCACCTGGACCAGTAGGGCATTCCAACTGAGAGAAGGCCGGCAGCACAGGCTGTGCAATCTCCCTGACAAATTCATCGAATGAAAGTCGCCCCACACGGAGCGGAGAAAAATGCAGTGACCCTGGCGATGACAATGTAGCACTCTTCTCAGGCACTGGCGAAACCAGGCCCCACGAGGTAGATCCCGATTTGTCCGCAGATGCAGAAAGCTCCAGGGAAGTATCTACAGGATCTACCAAATCATAGTCCGCATCATACAATGGTGACGGTGGGCAAGACCCGCCTGCAGGTGCATCAGGACCAGAAGGTGCCTCATGCTGATCGCCCTGTTCAGACAAGACCAATGCAGAATCCGCCGGAGTCACTGCCTGATCACCGCTCTCAGATGAAGCCAATGCAGGGGGCAAGTGACTCTCATGTTGACCTTCCTGCAAGGACGAAACAACCGCATCAAGGACCACTGCAGAGGGCGAGGCTTCCACAGTAGCGGGAATTTCCTGCTGAAGTGATGCCCGTTTCTGGAATCTCTTGACAATGCAACGGTCCTGCTCGAAGTCGGCACTATTTGTACCAACTGCAGCACAATCACTGTTCTCAGGCACTGACTGATCCATAATGCAAATCAATGGCCAAATGCAAAAGAAAACTGCAAAGGCCAGCTTGCCTGAAACCATGCACTCCTCCCCCTATCGCGAGCGGGAGAGGAATGTAGTGAAGCTAAACTCCACACAGATTGGAGGCCTCCAGACCTGGTCTAGAGGGCTTACAAAGCAAGGCCTGTTAAGCCTACAAATTTTTAGCCTGCGATGCAGGCGAGCTGGCAGCTGCGAGCCTGCTTGCTGCAATGGACATGGAATGTCATGAAATGCAGCAAGCATGCAAAACATTACCAAACACTCGTGAGCAAGCACACATACCGTGCATCTCCTGCGAAGGAGCTCCACCACAAGGCGAACTTATATTGAAGCAACGCCTAGCCTGCTACCTGCAGATAATATCATCGAGGGTGATGAACTAACTCAAGGCCGGGCCGATCACTCCATCAGGCCATTGACTTTCTTGAGCAAGGCCTTGCTGCCTTTGTCGTGGTTGGCAGCCTGGTCGACGACAGTGTGAAAGGTGGCCACAAGCTCGGTGCAATCGGAAGTAACATCCGCCGGCACATTCTCGGCCTCGTGCTGGCAAAGAACACCCAAGAAGTCCTCGAGAGCTGCGATGGCGTGATCGACGTCGTCCTTGCGATTGTCCCATGTCTTGTCCCCGCTGTACTTCGTGGAAATCTTGGTCTTCAAAGACTTGAGCTCCTCGTTGTTTTGGGTCAGCTTTTTCTTCTCGGCCACGATCTTCTTCAAAAGATCTTTCGCCAGGGTATGGCTCTCGCTCGGCTGCAAAGCCGGATCCTTGGAACTGGCGCTTGCCGCACTCTTGCCCAACATGATGTCGAGGGACCTCTTGTCCTTCAACTGCAAGTTCTTCATGCCGGAACAATGGCTTCCCAGGGACTCCTCCGTCTTCGTGGCCTGGCGGGCCACCTGGCCTCTCGAGTGCATGTAGAAGTACTTGCTGAGCACCTCGAACTTGGGGTGAATTTTCGTCGATCTCTCATAGCCGTACCGCTTTTCGGCTTCGGACATCAGCTCTTCCAGCAGATCCTTCTTCATATCTACGTGATGCACACCAGCTGGCGACTCCTACCAACAAGCTGCAACCTACGAGCACTGCCGACCCAAACAAAGATGCACACTAGCTGGCGACTCCTGCCAAGGAGTCCTTGTTTTTATCGTCTCGTTGCGGGAAGATCAATCCGCAGAAACAATGCTACAGCAGACGCTGCCTCAGCTCAGGTCCTCAGAGCCCTCAGGGTTTTGTTCGGGTTCATCTGCAGCCGCCTGCTCTGCCTGTGTTTCCGCTTGATTATTCTTCAAGCGTTTGTAAGCTTCATCCAAACCAATCACGTGCTCAATGGTTTCGGCGCCTTGCACCATGGATTGGAAGCTCTCCCAGGTATCCACCAAGCCGGGCTCCTCCTGAGCCTCGTCAGGACCCGCATCCACTGCAGCTGGCTCCTCAGCTGCACCACCGTCCCCCTGACGGGCTCCTTGGCCTGCAATCTGCTTCGCCCCGGCCTGCAAACAGAATGAACATGTGCTTCATATTGATGTGACAAAAAGTTATAACATATGCACTGAGCATGTACAGAAGCTGGCTCCTACCTACCCTGATATCACAGAATTTAGCCCAGGCCTCGCGGATCAAACGAAGCCGCTTTGAGGATTCCGACGGAGCTCCTCCGACCCATCTCCCCTCTTGCTTGAGAGTCTCAATTTGGCTGGCGAGCCGCATCTTTCTTTTCCTCCCCTTGCTCTTCTTCCAAGCCTGTTGCTCCTCAGGGGGATGTTCTCGCTCCCATCGACTCGTGCCCCAGTAAGCCTGGGATTGTCGATCCATCCGCTCTTCGTAATCGCTGTACTTCTGCGTGGCAGCCTGATCTGGGCCAGGATCCGGGCCCCTCTGCCAGCTGGAGCTCGACTGCTGATACTTGCGATCGCCGCGCTTCCAACCACGGCCATAGCCGCCATAGCCAGAATCGCCATAATCCCAAGCATCCTGACCTTGCTCATTCGCAGTGTCGCTTTGACCTTGCTCAGGGCCTCGGGGCTTTCCACCATAGCCGGCTCCTCCCCAGGAGCTTGCAGGCCGCGGTCCATCGGAGCTGGCTCCTCCTGCAACGGCTCGGCTTTCACTGGCACAGGAGGAAAGCGCCGCTTTTGCACTGCAGCCGGTGGGCCCTTTTTCTGAATCCTCTCCAACTTTTGGCATTCTTCAAGGGCCGCTTGGGCTGCCGGGCTGCCAGAGCTTTGCTCCTTCTCAACCTTTATAGCTGTCCTCAGAGCAGCCCCCGCCTTGTGCTCCTTGGAAGCTGCTTCCCATGCTTGGCGAGCCTGTTCGTACTCTTCATACGAGCTTACCTTCTTTTTCTTCTCCAAACCGAACAAGAAGTTATTCGCCTCTTCATCGCTGGAACATACCTCCTCGATGATGGGCCCAGAGCTCTCGGCCAGAATTTGCACGTCCTCGTCCCCAAGGGGATTGAACGTACTTGGCTCATCTGCTTGCTCTGTCTCCTCATCCATGATACTTTCTTCCAGGCCGACCTGAAGTTTATGTTGATAAACTGCATCGGCATTGCCAGAGTTCTTCCAACTCGACCAGTCCCAGCTCCGCTGCGTCCTGGAGCTGGCCGAGGAAGACTGAAGTGGGCCCTTGGCCCACAGGTTCGTATTTGGAGACTGCCTCATCCAATAATACTGGCATAAAATGTTGATGCAAGTCTTTTTCCGAAGGTAGCTCTTCGTCCCGCATTTCGGGCAAAGGCGGACGTCTTGGAGGGCTTGTGCGTCCTCGCGCGAATGCCTGCTCAACATGCTTGGCGGGAGCCAAAGAAATCCAGGCTCAAAAAAGCTATCGAGCAAATCGCAGCTACGAGGCAATCGAATCCTGACTGCTCCTACCAAGGAGACTGCTCCTACCAAGGAGATTCTGCACATCTGCATGCCCTGCAAACAGCGATCCTGACCAGCAGATCTTCTGACATGCATCTCCAAACATGCACATGCTCCTACCAAGGAGCTAGCATCCAAACCTGCCGTCGCACCTCGACCTGCAGATCCACCGAGAAAGTCGCAGCTGCTGCCGGCAGACCTGCAGGCGCAGCAACGATATTCTCTAAGTAACTAAGCTCCCCCCAAGGAGCTCATGCATGGACTTCTGAACTAGCTGCTGGCAGTCAACAAAAAACAAGGAACACTTGCACTGGCAAAGCACATGTCCAGATCTCAACATGCGTCTTCGGAAAAGCTCGCACTCTGAGGCCCGAACTTGACAAAGCAAAAACAAAAAGACTCATGCGAAAACGGCTGCAGCAACATCAAGTCAAGCATGTGTGTGCACCAGCTACATGATTCCTCAAAATCTCTGCACATGCCTTATAACGAAGCTGAGCTATGCAAGTAAGGTTGCAAACTTCTGACAAAACTATTTTTCCAATCCTGCATGCATGCAGCATCTCGACCTTTGCATGTTCCATCCACCTGTACAATCGCTGATATATATATATATATATACACAATCCTACATCTCCCCGCCACCCGCACGACTCAGGTCAGGGTTTTAGCCGCCTCAGGCTTCTGCTCTTTTGCCAGAGAATCCCGGCAAAATTGAATGCAGTGACTCCAAGCATCTGCTAAATTGTCGTAATACGACCAGGAGTACTGGGATCGGCATTCTACTGGCTTCTTGATCCAGAAAGCCCTGTTCCTCACAAGGACGTCAATGGCGACCCCGTCCGGCAGTCGAACAGTGTAAGAGTGCTTGTCCGAAGCATCGGCCGGTGGCTGAGCCTCTTTTGGCACTCCTGTGATATCATAGCCATTGAACAGGAGTGCATCACTAGCTGCAGAATGTGCAGGCCCTGGCGGATCGAAATTTTCCTCAGGACCCGAATCGCTTGCATGCTTTTCTGACACAGGACACTCCTCGTCAGGAGCAGCTTCGGTATCTTCAGCCTGCTCTGGGATCGAAGCGGACGACTCCTTGCACTTGCCCTTCGCTTTGACAGTAGCCGTCGCACGAGCTCGTTTCAGTTTCGGGCCTTTTTGGCCTTCCTTAATCTGAGCAAGCCACAAATTCGGCACCTCCGATTGGAATGGCATTTCAAATGGAAAACGAACCATGCAGAACCCTTCAGGTCCCTCTGAAAGTTCTCCTCTCCACTTCTTGGCCATCTGGTTTGAGTCTGATGTAGCATCCAACCGCATATGCTTTCTTTGCTCGTCCAATGGTCTTCGCTGCGGCCGGCTCCTCAGCTTCCGATGAAATGTCGATTTCAACTTCCCTTTGGCTGTCATGAAAAACACCAAAGTCATCAACATCGCTAGCTTCCTCGGCAGGACGTCTGGATCTAGAATCTCCTCCTCTGCATCTGTCCGAGAAAGTCTATGAAGCGACAAAATCTCTTCGGCGGACTCGGGACGGGCAGCGCTCTTTTCGTTTCACTCTCCTCTGAGGAGAAAACAACAATCTCTTAAGTCTTAGCTGATGCAAATGGCGATGAAGCTCCATGTCCAGCGCCTCTGCTTCGGTGCGTCTCGAGTGCTCGGGTGCCAGCACCTTCTCGGTGCCGCCCCGCAATGACACGTGGCAGCTCTTTTGCTCAAGCGTTGCTACGGCCCGACTGGATCCAACTGAGTCCGTCGGCAAGCTGGAGGTCACTCCGACTGCTTAGTTCTTCCGGCCGATTTTCCTACTACTTTCCCTGCGGCCTGGTATCCTTCTGGCTCATGCTTGGAAGCCATCTGATGTCGCTTGCGCGACCATTTGCTCCGGGCCATCTGCCCATGCACAGCCTGGAGGAAGAACTTGAGTGGTACCAGCCGCTGCAGCGACGGAATTCCAACAAACATTTTGCTCCAACACGGCATCTATGCATACAAGTGCACACCACAAGAAGAAGGTTTTGGAGGATCCGGCACAGCCAAGAATACCCAGGGAGCTGCGCTTAGAGGCGCGTACCGCCAGAATTACCGAGAATAAGGAGGCCATCGGAGCTGGCAAGCACCGACGATGTGGCGACAGAAAGCTTTCCCATGAGAGCAACCAAGATGTGGAACTCATTTTGAACCGTTGCTGGCGCGCTACTCGCTGCAGAAGGCATCACGCAGATTGGCTTGTTAGCCAGGGCGCGGAGATCCAGGACCCGTTTACGGAAGATCGGAAGCCGGGATGGACGGAAAGCATGGCGCCCTCGCTGCTGCCTCGACCGTCTGTGAAGTTGCACAGGCAAGCCAATGGCAAGCAGCACCCGCCTTGTAGGCATCTTCAAGTCCTATCTTCCTTCACACAGGACAAGCTGCACAGGAAATTCCCTCTTGCACTTTCCCGCAGAAGTGCAGCTCCCAAAAGGCCGGCGATTGACTGACAAGCAAAAGGGCGGCTGTTGGGTTGAGGTGGTTGTGGCGTGTCTGTGCCTTCCGCTTCGCGATCGTGTTTCCTGTTTTTGGGAACCATGGAGGCTACGAAGACAGTCAGAAGTTGTGTTTGGCAAAAGTCTAGCCGAAGCAGGCAACCTTCTGACGAGGGACGATTGATGATTAGCACTCTGGAAATGGAGAACCGTCGGCGCATTGATGCAGGATAAGCCAAGCACGTACCAAAGCTGAGACAGTCCTCCACTGTCTAACTGATGCGAAGGGGTGCCTGGAAAGTCCTCGTCGTGTCCTGGTGCGACATCCGCCTGTTCTGGTGCGGGTAAAGGCGAAGTGCAACTCAACACCTTGGCTTGCCTCACGGCGAAGTCGGTTGCTATTCGTGGAATCACTCAAGCTGGCGCCTGTCTGCCTGCCTGCCTGCTGCCTGTTTGCCGCCTATGTTTGTGTGCTTGTGCGATGTAAGCCTGTGCAGTTTGAGCCTCTCATCCTTCCGGACGCTGGTGCACCACTTCGCCTGGAGGACCCGCTACATACTGTCCACTGGTCCACTCTGGAGCGTTGCTATGGACACCAGCTTGACGGTCTGCCTGCCGATTGCTTCTTTGGCTCAATAACCCCGCTGAGGTAAGGCTTGTTCAAAATCTGTGCACGTCCGGAGAGGTCAGGTGAATTACTAGGCAGATCTACGCGGCTGCTTGCAGATCTGTCTATGTTGATGACCGCCAACCACCATTGTCTTTAATCTCCTGAAACATGGATTGGAACTGAGCAATCCGCGCCCGGCGAATGCAGACACCGGTGCCGCGCACCGGATGGTTGCTGAGAGACGTCATTCTCTGACTTCATCTGCCAAATTCCCCCCGCCGGGGTTTCTGACTGCCGAAGAGCAAGCCAAAACTCTGTTCGAATTTTTCTTCGGTCACCGGAATGAACTTGGCGTGTTCATCGATCTCTTCACCACTACAGTCACTATACAGTGTGTGCCGACACCACTGGAGCGGTGGATGTCTGTTTGGTGGACAAGTCGGGCAGATTCACCATGAAGGGGGAGGATGCCCACCAACGTCTTACAGCTGGCAGCACGGGGCCCACTGGCCCCTGATTATCGCAGCTTCTTCCCATTGGTGGGACATCATGTGGCATTGGAGCTACATGCATCGCTTCACAATGCCCTCATCAGCTGGGAGGCTCTTTATCGCACCTCAGGACTTGCGCGCTTAGGGACTCAGCACCCTCCGCGCGAGGATAGTGCCACGGCCCGTGCTTTCTACCAGCAGTAGTCTGTCAACCGCACTCAGCCGCTCTGCGCTGCCTGTGCACTGGTTGCTGCTTGCAGCTTGCCTGGCTCCTCCGTGCAGCTGCTCCTGCGTGGCATGGATTTTGAGCACAATGGCCCCACTGGGCAGCCCATCCAAGAACGCCCCTTCTACCCGGTGCTCGACACCAAGAACCCAGTCTTTGGACTGCTGGCCGCCACAACGGCGGGCGCGGCGTCGCGCGCGGTAAACTTAACCACTTAAAACGCCGCGCCGCCCGCAGGGCGGCGCGGCGTCAGCCGCGCCGCTCCAGATGCCACGCCCCCTTTTTCGCTGGCAAGCGCACCCAAAACCGCTCCGCCGGCTCCTTTGGCGCACCTTTCTGAAGGCGTGGCGCCTGGAGCGGCGCACGCCCGGACTTGGTTGCCAAGCCCTGCCTGGAAGGCAGGCCTCCAAACACCACCTCAAAACCTTCGCCTGTCAGGTCAAGTCTCCCAGAACCACGTCTGCTACTTTGACTTTGGGTCCAGACAGTCAGCACCGCCTCAAAACCTTGCCCTCTACGGTCAAGTCTCCCAGAACCACGTCTGCCACTTTGACTTTGGACTCCAAGGTCAAGTCTCCCCGCAATACGCTACTGCGACTGCGAATCCAGGCAGTCAACACCACCTCAAAACCTTCGCCTGTCAGGTCAAGTCTCCCAGAACCACGTCTGCTACTTTGACTTTGGGTCCAAACAGTCAGCACCGCCTCAAAACCTTGTCCTCTACGGTCAAGTCTCCCAGAACCACGTCTGCTACTTTGACTTTGGACTCCCAAAGTCAAGTCTCCCCGAAACACGTCTGCTACTGCGACTGCGAATCCAGACAGTCAACACCACCTCAAAACCTTCGCCTGTCAGGTCAAGTCTCCCAGAACCACGTCTGCTACTTTGACTTTGGGTCCAGACAGTCAACACAGCCTCAAACCTTGGGGTCTCAGGTCAAGTCTCTCAGAAGCACGTCTGCTGCTGTGACTGCGTCACCGAACAGTCAACACCACCTTTAAGTCAGAGCCAAACTCTCAAAACCACGTATGGTCTTTTGACTTCTTGGCCAAAGCGCCCAAAACCCATTTTTGCTATCACAAAAACTAAAAACAAAATCTCTAACAGAACATCCGAAGTCCTAAAGGTCCCAAAATTCGCAAAGTTCAAACAGAAGAGCTGCAAAGCATATTTCTGCGCTGGCATCGGCGCAGTTGTGGTTTCAGCTGAGCAACCGAATTGGAATGCCTTCATACGGGTCGGCATCCGAAACTTCGCAAACTTCGGGCTTACTCTCGAGATCGGCAAAAGGATTCTCATCATCGGGGGGCACATCAGCGCTACCAGCCGGAATGTCTTGGACATTTGAAGCTGCTGCTCCTGCAACTTGCCCTTCAACAAGTTGCTGGTTTTCGGCAGTTGGCGGCTTTCCATCACCCAAAAAATGGCTTAAAGTTTCCCAAGAAGCACTTCCGACAGCTGTTCGCTCAGTCTTGCTGCGAAAACTGTCTGCATAGGAAAACCAAAACAAAAACTGAAACACCCGCATTCTTTCGTAAAGCTACTGTTCGAAAGTTTGCGCTGTTTCAGGAGTGGGTCCTGTTGTGTTGAAAGACCGCTTGCCTATCTCTCTTCTAAACGATGCGAAGAAGCCATCAAGCTTCTGAGTGCCACCTATCCTAATTTCTCAGTGTTGTTCAAAGGCGAAAAAAGTGGAGCTGGTGGCAATGTGATGTAGCTGGTTTGACACACACACACACACGAACACACACACACACAGAGACACAGACACAAACAAAACACCACACACGCACACACACACAGAAGAAGTGCAATTTGGATTGGGAAGAGAGTTTGCATTGTGCATTGGAAGTGGAGTTTTGAGTTGAAATGGTCGCTTTAGAAGCCACACTCTTGTAAAAGCGCAGCTAAAACAAATATTGCAAGAAATCACTTATCCCACCAATCCAGTCTCACTTCCAATTCTGTCCACGACACCGTCGGTGTTGCTGGGACGGCTCCAACGCCTGGTGTCGACACTGCTGCAAAAATCCAAATCCGACACTGCGTGGAGCCAGCGAGCAGCTGCATTGCTGGACGCCGTCAACATTCCGCCCGTCTGGTGCCCGGGGTGGACGTCATTCTTCGCAAATGTGTTCCTTTGCGAAGCAGTATGAGATCTTTAGTAGCAAACAAACTAAGGAGTGGGCAACAGTAGAGAGGGCTCGGCTCGGCCAGTGTCACACTGCTCTTCTCTCGTACGGCACTCAAGTCTGCGACCGGTACTCGGTTACGTCAAAGTGTCTTTCCCTGACTTGCCGTGGAGTCATGGATTTTCTTATTCAATTGTGGCACCATGCAACATCGGCTGGAACAATGGCCACCGTCGACTTCGGAGCGCGCCTGGTAGGCAACTGGCTCTGCTCGGTCAATCCCAATGTCCATGACTTTCGACACACGTCGAAGTGTCTTCGTGACACAACAGGATCTCGGGCCGACCGTTGTTTGACGGAACCGGCCGGAGCTTTTGACTTGGGCTCCACCGTTGATCTTGGACAACCTTGGACGACGGCCCACTGTTGTTGTGAATCGGTCGCTGAGGACCCGTAGTTTATGCTGAACAGCCAACACCAGCAAAGCCTGTGCGCCGCAGCTAGCTTCCGCATCCATCATGCGTGCGTGAATGGATTTTATTTTCCGCCGAAAGTGTAGACAAAGTTTGTCGAAAAAGGAAAACAATGTTTTCACTTGTGTGTGAGTGACACTAGACAAGCTTTGCCGTGCAGCTTTCGGCTTGAAGTTGGATCTGTGATCCAAAAAGTTTTTATAGAGTGGCTTGTAGTGCTCCGCAGCGACGACCTTCCACTCCCTTTGATACTGGGAAGAACCGGTGGCTTGTAAATGGTTAACATACTTTTCGAGGTTAGCTATCTGTTTACAAACAAATGTAAAGGGTTAAGTTGGTTTAGCTTTTGGGGTTAGCATAGCTTGAAAAGGGGGTTAGTCTAAGTAACATAAAGGGGTCCCTTATACGTCTAAACCTTCCAAGCCCTGAACATAAAAGCCTCAAGCCCTGAACCCTGCAAAACAGAAGTCGGACTGCTCGGTCACGGTAGGGAGAG